GATGAATAATACTCTCTCCGTCTCATAATATAAGAGCGCTCTTATATGTGTCAAAAATGCTCTTATATTATGGGACGGTGGTGTAATAAACACTCTTATATTATGGGATGGAGGGAATAGCAGAGAGGCGAGTTAAAGATTTTTTTTTCTTTGCAGGGCAGCGAGTGAAAGAATCTGTGTCGCGCTGCACGGACATGTCCTCCCTTCCTCTCTCTAGGATGCTCGGGATCAACTGGCACGAAGGGAGGAGGGATGGAGCCGCCAAACCCTAGGCGGTATATTTGGTTGGGATCAACTGGTCCGAAGGGAGGAGGGATACGGAACAACCAAACCTTAGGCAGTACTTGGGCCAAGTGCAGCTCCCTACTACAGTACTACTACCTCTGTTTCTAATGGTCTCCTTGGAATCTTGCATTAGGTCTAGCCGGACCTGGCTGCCATTTTGACATGTTTGATTGCATGTATCAAATTCTTAGCCCGCACCAGTCAAGCCTGCTTGAAACACTCAAATCGATTGTTTCTAGGGCCAGTTTTTTTGGGCAATTCTCCCAGAATTAACCCCCTCCCCAGCTTCTCCCAGAATTGCCACTTAATATTTTTTTACAATTCCTAGCTAATTAGACCTTAACTAGCTAGGAATTGTAAAAAAATATTAAGTGGCAATTCTGGGAGAAGCTGGGGAGGGGGTCAATTCTGGGAGAATTGCCCAAAAGAACTGGCCCCTAGTGAGTCAGGCTGAATCGACCTCAAAAGTGGGGCGCATCTATGTCTCGCTTATTACGATATGAGGGCAGTCTCCCCTTGGGTGAGCGCAAGACTGGGCCAGACCCGCGCGCGGGAGGCCATAGGCTACAACCTAATTATTTGGGCAATTCTTTGCTTTATTTTTTTATTTTGTGTACTTTTAAGTATTATAAATATTTATGTTACAAAAAAATTACATAAAATTTCGAAAAATGTTAATCAAACATTTAAATATTAAATGTGTATAAAAAATGTTTCATATGTAATGTATGCAATGTGTCAAAAATAGTTGACAATGTACTTAAAAATATTAATCAAGCATATGAAAAATGTTAAGCAACCATTTGAAAAATGGTAATTATTATTTGAAAAAATTAAATATGTATAAAAATGTTTCTATACACATCTAAAACGTTTGTATACTTAATTATCAAAATATAAATTTTACTAAATGTTAATCATGCATTAGGAGAATGCTAAATGTGTATAAGAAAATGTTCCTAATGTATAAAAATTATTGAATGTGCGTGAAAAAAGTTGATCACTAGAAAAGCGAAGAATGTGTGTGTGTGAAATGCAGAATGTGCACGAAACAAATGTTAATTATGTACTTAAAAATGTAAACATGTGTAAAAAAATGTTCTAGATGTAAACATCAAAACCATATATTCAAAAAAAAATGTTATTCAGATAAAAATAGAAGATAAACAAAACAAATAGAAAGAAAAGTAAAAAACGTAGAAAATAAATCAAAAGATGGAAACAAAAAATGACAAAAGAAACAGAGAAAAATGAATAGAACCATTGAAACCCAGAAAAGAAGCAAAGAAAACCAATGAAAAATAATGAAAACAATAAAATCCACAAGGAAACAAAGAAAAATTAAGTAAATCATGAAAGAATAGAAACACCAAATAAAAAAGAAAAAATAAATAAACAAAAAAACAATGAAAACCAAGAAAGAAAAAAGAAACTGAAAATTTAATATATAAATAAAAACAAGTGAAAACCGAGTAATACCAAAGAACACAGGTGAAAAAAGCAAAGAAAACTGACAAAAAACAAAGAAAAGTGGTGAAAAAACAAACAAACCAAAAAAACAAAAAGGAAATAGAAAAACAATTCAAACGAAGCTACAACGAGCGATCGAAACAAATGAAACGGGCCGGCCCTGTTTACGACGTGGAAGAAAAAGCTTATGCCAGTACTCGCAAAAATCCCCTCAGAAAAAGATGGAAGTTATACTTGCTACAGTCTTCACTCACTTTGTGCATTTTAAAATCAAACCCAAAAACCATACAAAAAATAAACCAGACCGAACCAGTTTTACGGATTTTGTTTTCGGTATGGTATGAACTTTCCATACCGATTTGAATTTTTATTTTTATGGTATATACTGAAAAACCAAACGGTTAACCAAATAAACCGAAGTAAAAAATATATTTATATTTCTTGAGCGAACAACCATAAAAGTAGTAATTTCTCTTGTACAGGAACCACGAGGCGCACCCATTTTCCTTGTAACGTACTTATTTTTCTCTTGAAAAATGTTAAGCACAACCATAACCATCAAGGCATGATTCAATACATGCAATGTACTTATATGTATTTATTATATATTTTTGTATAAAAAATAGGTGTTTTGAGTCGTAAATTTGTAAATTATTGTTATGTCATTTTCAAATTCGCGTCAACTTTAGTTTTTATGGTATATACTGAAACTATACCAGTTATTTTTGATATATACCGAAACGGAGCCGTAATTACCGAGGTATTAGTACCGTACAAATCGGTAAACCTTATAAACCGAACCTTGCAAATCGAATAAACTGAATGTATAGAGTTAGTCTTCACCACAAAAGCAAGCCAACAAAGTGCACGTGATGGACCCGCAAGTCAAGGAGTGTACGTGATGGGCCCAAATGTATGAAAGGATGAGAGCAAGCACAGAGGATACACTTGGAGTGTTTTGTTTCCTCTCTAATCTCTTTCACTTAATCTCTTTCACTTAATCTCTTATAATCTATACAACAGTGCTTAAATTCGAGATGAGCTCTACACAAAAAGGGTGTACATCAATGTTTGGTTTCATTCAGACGATCGGTTCATAATTTCGTTGACTGTAAATGTTCGATTTCATGTTCATATTTAAAGTTGTGTTGGACAAAATTTGTGGCGCATGGTTGACTGTTTGAAATCTTCTTGGACAAGTAGTTTCACACAACTTTCATGTTGTACGTTATTTGTTTCGACAGTAGACGAGTAGATCTACATCTATGGACTGTACAAATTCATATATGTAGTTTGTTTTAATGTCCCTCTTTAATCTACTTGACCTAGTTCATTCTAATCTACACAACGATGCTTCGATTCGAGATAATCTCTACACAAAAAAGATGCATATCGACGTTGTGGTTCTATTCAGATGATATATTCATAATTTCATAGTTTTGTCGATCGTAAATGTTTAATTTCATGTTCATGTTTGAAGATGTTTTGGACCATTTTTGTCAAAACCGTCGTGTTTGGTTGACCGTTTGACATTACCTTTGACAAGTAGTGTCAGCCCGTCGTTTCTACGGTCCTAGACGAGTAGATATACATATCCCTAGTGGAATGTACAAATTCATAAGTGTAGTTTGTTTTAATGACACTTCTTACTCTCCTTCACCTAGTTCCTTTTAATCTACACAACGGTCTTAAATTCGAGATAAGTTGTACATCAATGTTGTGGTTCCATTCATTGGATCGGTTTGTAGTTCCGTTAACTGTATATGTTCAACTTCGTGTACATGTTTGGAGCTATTTGGGTGAATTTTGTCAAATTCGCCGCGCATGGTCGACCGTTTGAAATTTTCTTTGGCTAGTAGATTCATCTCGCTATTTTACATGACTTTTCTGTTGTACATTTGTGTGGTGTGTTGTACTCACACTCCATAATCTCCTATGTCTAGTCCCTTCTAATCTACTAACATCTAAACGAAAAAGATACACATCAACGTTATGGTTCCATCTAGGCGATGGATTCGTAGGTTCGTTGACTTTAAATGTTCAACTTCGTGTTCATGTTTGGAGCTATTTCGGACAAAATTTTCAAACTCATCGCACACGATCGACTGATTCACACTACTATCACGTTGTATGCTTTATGTTTCGACGTTCGTAGACGAGTATATGTGTATCACACTAGTGTACTGTCCTAAGGTGTTCCTGTGATGGTTTAGACAAAATTCGGCAAATCCATCGCACACGCTCGACCGTTTGAAATTTCCTTTAATCACTAGCTTCATCTCGTTATTCCATGGAACTTTTGTGTTGTACATTTTCCGTTTCAACTCGGGTAGGCGAATAGAGCTATACCTATCTACTCTACTCTTAACTTTGTGTGTCATGTGTACCTGTTAACTCTTAACCGAATCCAGTGTGAACCGATAATCCTGTGAGGGAAATGTCATATATCGTATGTCTCTGTGTGTATGTTGTAACCATCGGAAGCAAATGGGGAATTCGATATCTCACACCCGCTACAGCCCAACCGTTATATAGGAGCAGGTTTAACTGAAGTAAATGAGCTACAGTTACTACGACAGTGGTTAAATAGTCAACAAGCGTGTCGTAGACAATCTCAACGCTGAGCGACGAAGCTGTGAGGGAGGAGCGAAGGGAGCCGTTCGGTAACTGATGAATTGGCACGCGTAGTAAAACTTGACACCGTCTTCAGATCTAGGTGGAGAGTACCTGACAATCTGTCATATAGTTCAAGGCAAATATGATATGCGAGTG